AAAAGACTTTAAAAGCATAGCTATAAGAAAAAGAAAAGTGGGGACCAGCAGTTGGCATAATAGCTATGTCACTGGACTCCCATGTAGTCCACCGCGATTCCAGTCCCGGATCGGGTGGCTTAAAACTCATGCTGGGCATGTATGCGTGCGTGTCCAAGATCCCAAGAGGAGAATGAAGGAGAAGGGATTGCAGCGTGGTCATCCCCCCTGGGGGGTGATTTCTCTCTTTCTGTCTCTCTGTCTCTCTCTGTCTGTCTGGTGAGCGCACACGCCTTATAGCAAAAACCTCTCAAAAAAATATAAAAAGAAAGGAAAAGAAAATTGATCTCTTACTCTTTCATAGAGAAGAAACTCAGTTTTTCTGAATAATCAAATGATGTATTAAAGCGTGGGGTAAAAGGGATCATCTCAATAAATCACAAAATTTCCTTTTTTTTTCCCTCTCTCTCTCCTGCTTTATTTTGTTTAATACTACATGAAAATCTTGTTCAAAGAGAAAATCAAACTCTGCTTTTGCACTAGTATACTTCTAACATGGAGGTTCACTTTTAAAACCATTATAATTCTAGTCAGTTTAACACATGATATTTTTTCCATTTTTTCTCCTTTTTTATATTTTTATTTATTTTTATTGCTATTATTTCTTCATTTATTTACTTTAAATACTTTCTTAATTACCCTCTGAGCTAGATCAAAGTTAGTGTTTTACTTAAAAAAACAGTACCAGCAGTTAGCATAATGGATATGTCTCTGGACTCCTATGTAGTTGACCACAGTTTGAGTCCCGGACCCGGTGGTTTAAACTCATGCCGGGCGTGTGTGCATGTGTACCCAAGATTCTGAGAGGAGAATGTAAGCGAAGGGATTGTGGCGTGGCCATCACCCCTAGGGAGTGAATCCTCACTTTCTGTCTCTGTCTCTCTCTGTCTTTCTGGTGAGCGCACATGCTCTATAGCAAAAACCTTTCCAAAAAAAAAAGTCTTCATGCCTTTTTTATTATAACTTTCCTTACCAAAAGTCATTCTTATTTTTCTAGTTCGCTTTGTAAACCGAATTGTTTCTCTTAGTATTTTCAATACATATATTAATTAGAACTGTTAATTTTAGTAATCTAAATTTTAGTGAACACCTAAAAAGTAACTTAAACTGCCATATACCAACACATTTATGACTTTATAATTCTAGAAACATAGGCTGTTTCATAGAGCTATTCTTTCAATTGCAATTAAAGGACTCAAAACTTAAATACATGAGTATTTTGCTAATTACCTAGAACATGAGGCTGTTTCTATTAAACACAACATTTAACCACTCTGATTTACTAAAGACTTAACAAAGTCATATGAGCCTTGGTTAATTTTATTTAATTTGTGGGCATGCATTTTTAAGTCAACTTGTTGCCATGTAAAGAATACACAAACACATGTGTGAACATAAACATACATGTAACAGACATATACAAATGTATATATAAAACTACAAATGCAAATAAAGATTTTATAGCTTTCTTTCAGACATACAGCAGGTAAAATAAGGTGACCTGACTCGCATGGTCTCCTTTTACTAATACTTATAGAAAGGACCTTTAAGGGGCCAGCAGAAGGCATGGTGGTTAATGCTCTTGACTCCCACATGGCCTACTATGGATCAAATCCCAGAACTAGGGCTTGCTTTCTCACTTTCTGTCTTTCTCAATCTCTGTGATGAGTGTATATCAAAGTAAAAATGATAATAATAATAGTAGTAATAATGATAAATAAAATTAAATAATTTGAATAAAAAACAGAAAGGATCTTTAAGATTTTTCTTTTGGTCAGCTTTAATCTTTTTTATTTATTTATTTTTACTAGACAAGTCATCTGGGTTTTATCTCCAAAAAGATAGTTACTATGTTTTAGAAGACACAATACACATTTTAAAGACACAGAGAAAGAAGGTGAGTTCTTCCAAGAAGTTTGGAGTATGTCAGTTACATGGGACAGAAGAAAATTTAAAATGGATCTCAAGATAATCATAGAATTATAGGAACTTACTATAATATTTTACAAAGAAGTATCTAGGTGCACCTAGTAGAAAATTCAGAAGCCTACTGACATTCATTGTCAGTTCCCAAGTGACACAATAAGATGTCTGAGGCTTTTCTTACCTAGACACTCAAGAAAAAGTGAAAAGGACAGAAAGCAAGAGTTTGTCTGTAATAACAATATTGTAACCACTGTCACTTACTTTAAAACATAACTCTTGCCAGTGACTGGTTAGTTTTCATACACTCAATGGTGGGGTGTTATCTCACAATAAAAGTAAACCTTGGTGCCCTCCAATGCCAAAGACTTTAGGGAGTTTAATGCAAAAGAGAACAGAAAGCCTTATCCTAAGAAGAATCCCTGAAAGGGCTCAGCTTTTACAAGCCACATAGTAGAGTCATTGAATATATGATCAGGCCTGAATCTCAGACTTCCCTTGGAGAAGTTATTGTCACTGCTCCCAACCTCCATTTTCTTATCTATAAAATGGGCCCTTGGAAATACTTTGAAAGTATTTACAGGGATTAAATAAGAAGTGTTTTATTGTTACAAGACACAGTTGAGTTTTTTCTACTTCATAAATAGCCACACCCAAAAACACACTATTAATGCATTTCTATGACTTAATGTTAGGTTTTTACCATATTATCTAACTTTTCATATAATTATTTTACCTTCTTAATATAGCAGTCATTTCTTTAAAATTAGACACCATCTTAATTAAATTTTCTAAAATAATTCAATGCTTCCTTACTTGCTAACTTACTCAACTATTAAACACTATTTACCTTTGGTTCTGAATGGCCTGGGGTCTTTAATATAAACACTTAATGCATGTGAAAAGAAAAGGAATCAATATGTTTAAGTAACTCTTATACACTAAGACATTATAATCACCTCATTAATTATTATCTTATGTATTACAATAACCTAACTTTACAGATTGCTCCAGTTTCATGGATGAATAAACTGAGGCACAGAGGAGTAAAATGCTAAAGTTTACCCAGTTAGTAGACAGTAAAGACTAACCTACATCTAGTCCCAAAACCTTGACTCCTTGGGAACACGTGAAACAGTAAGCTCCTCAGATGGAGACTGGATGATGGCAGCAATAACACAAAGTCTTCTGAAGCTGACCCACCTGGGAAGGTTCCTAGTTCAAGTCCAGAGACTTCCCTGACTTCTCCAGGCAACCATGTTTCCATACCCTAAGGCTAGCTAAGGCTGAGAGCAGATTGTTGTGGCAAGATCGTGTAGGAGGTGTTCTCTCTTTCACTTTCTGTCTCTCCCACTTATTAAACAAACAAACAAACAAATTCCTCTGGGATACCTAGGACTGAGATGCTTTCCTTCTACAATACAATAAATGCTACTTTGTCCTTATACCTTTGTAGTTTGTAGGGCTTTTTATTTTTACTGTTAGTTAGTTAGAGTTCCAGCTTTCTTTCTGTAAGGAATTCTTGTTATATTTCATGTGTTTAATCTGTCCTCCCCTGAGAATCTAAGTATGCAGACTTCTCATGACTATGTCAAAGGCCAGTGGGTTCTAAGTGAGCGCCGGAAAGGTCCTCCTTTAAGTATGGTGCAATGACTTGGTAATCCATTCTTCTCAAGTCTCCAGCTGCATTTCAGACCACAGCAGCATTTTCTCTGTAGGCAGGGAGTACTGTAGTCAGACATGGAGATACCTAAGTATGACTAAACACAATGTCAGTCTGTAACAGTAATCGTTGCTAGTGTCTACTAAACGTCTTTTTCAGTCTCGCTGTGATTGTCTTTCTGTTCTCACTGTGATTCTAGAAGTATTGCCCTGCAAAGCCCTGCAAAGCCCTGCAAGAACCCCCTGTAGGTGTTCTTGTCTCCATTTTACGGATGGGAAGGCTGAGACTCAACAGTTTTCATAACTAACCAAAGGTACCCTGTGACTAGCTCGCTTTGAGTCCAAACGTAAATGTTGAGCCCAGAGGTTACACTGATGACCCATGATCAGCACGGTTCTTTATTCTCTAGCTAGAGTGAATGACTATGCCCACAGTACCAAGAAGACAGTCCTAATAAAAATGCCCTTGCTCATGCAGACCAGGGGAGCTGGGCAAGAAGGCCTCTGAACACACACCTCCAGCAGGCAGCCTCACACTGTGCTCAACAAGAATGTCACTCCAAGGGCACAGGCACTGCACCAACAGCTGGAACGGTGCCCCCTGATGACAAGGGCAAACTTAATGGCAGAAGGTAGGGGAGGAGTCACAACGGTGTGGGAATTAGATGTCAGATGTGAGTACAGGCGGACCTCCTGGACTGGGATTTAAAATAAGGGTGACATGATTTCATGTTCCCTGCCCTTCTCCGGGGGCGGGAGGGGAGGGGAGAGAAGAATATAATACTCACATATAACATTTTTTGTGGGTGGTGTGAGTTCACTCCAGTTAACTTGCCAAAGTACCAAAATCTGTGCGGAGGTTTTAACTGCATAACTATGTGAATTCTCCACAAATGCCACTTCCATCTGAAGTTTGGAAGCTTCAGATCAACAGTGAGGGTGACAAACCACATGGTTCTTGCCCAGCGAGCCTTTCCTTTTTCTAATAATCTTTCTCAAACACTACCCCTCCGCTGGGACAGTGCCCGGAGAGACCGCAAGGCAGGGACTCTGGGCAGGCGCAGCCTCCTGCTCCAGCTCAGAGGTCGCTCCGCTATCAAGCTGCAGAGCGACCAGGCAGGATTCAAACGCTGGTCCGACACTTTCCCTGCCAGTGCCTAACCAGGGCATCATGTCACTCCTGAGAGTCTTCCGGTTCACACGGGGAAACTCTCAACCACCTCTTTAGAAAGAAATAGAAATACATTAAGCAGTTCGAAAAATGTGGTTCCCGCGCAGTAAAGTTGGAGCACAGAAGAGTTCAGAAGTGGGCGGATGTGTGCGTTTAAAAAAAAAAAAAAAGGGGGGGAACCCCCACCAGCCACGTCTGTAGAAAAAACTAAATGAAGTCTGCCTATCTCCGGGCCGGAGCCCCTCCCCTCGGCCGCGCGGGAGGAGTGTGACCCAGGTGCCGCTTCCTCCCGTCTGCTGAGGGTCACAGCCCGCCAGCGCGACCCTCGCCGCAGCTTGCTCCGTCCCCTCGGCCTCTGCCCGGCCGTCGGCGATGAGCAGCTTCAACGCCACGTCGCCGCCCGCGCGCCTGGGTGAGTGCTCGCCTTGGGGATAGGGGCTGGGGGCCGCGGCCCGACCTGGGCGCGGTGGCGGAGCTGAGCGTCCTGGCGGGAGCCCGGCCTCTTGGCAAACTCGGCGCCGGCTGTGCTCGGAACGCCACCACCAGCGCGGGCCCCTGGTGCCCGGGCTGCGCGGGGTTCCTCTGCCGCCCGACCGCAACGCGCGGTCCTCTTTCCCGCAGCGGGAGAGGCCGCCCGCCCCCGCGCGTCCGCTCCTTGCTGTTTCTTTGTGTGGGGCTGGGAAGTGTCCGGCTAAAATAAAGAAGGAGCCTACTAGAAGGGCAGGCAGAGCGTGAAGCAGCCCAGGGTGCCATCCCAAAGGGTGCTGCTTGGGCACGACTCTGGGTAAACTCCGACCACGCGACTGCTCCCGGAGCTGCGCTCTTCCTTCCAGGGCAGGGAGAGACACCCTGAGGGCCCGAGGACCTGCTCTCCTGGAGCCTTTGGGCGTCGGTAGTCCTGGTGCTTGTTGCTTTCTCTTTAACACTAGCACGTGTTTTCTTGAAGCCAGGAAATCTCATGCGAGGAGATTCTTGGTAATGCTAGGAAACTTTGCTGCGCTTCCTTCCTCTTTCTGCCCGCCTCTTCTGCCAATGAACTTTTGCAATAAAAACGAAATTTTAATTTTTTAAAAAGTGAATGTTTATCCCTTTTACCTACCACCCTAGCCAGGGCCAATTATTAGAATCTGTCAGAGAGGAGATATTCTGAGTTTATAATGTGATCGCGTTAAATTATTAACATGGTAATGATATGGGTATTGGAGACACAGACACTTCTCCAGGTCTGAAATTCGGCTGGTTCCGAGACCTCACCCTGCCCCAGGTGGGTGTGGGTGTGCGTGAACATGGCTCAGGGCTGCAGATGTATACTGTATGCCTGTGTGTGCAAGGTAGTGAGTGTGCCCCAAGCTCAATTGGGTCAGCCTGAGTGTGCATAGGTATGAGCCACGTGTGAGAGCCAGAGCCTCACTGTCCTTGTTGGAATCATCTCAACTGCTGATTAGCAAGTCAGTCTCTTGGCTCTGGTTTCCTATCATCTGCAAAATGGGAATAGTGGGACATTCCTCACCGGGTTATAAGAATGACATGCCCATAAATGGCTGGGCAGAGACTGACATGTACCAAGTGCTCAGTAAATACCAGGCACTTTATATGAATTTTACGTGAGACTATGCATCCCCCTAAATTGTAGCACATTTACAGGTGTTTATCTGACTTGAGCTCATGTGTGTATATGTGTGTACATACACAGGAGGTCTGGGCTAAGGGGCGGAAGCCACTGAAACATTCTAATTCCGGCGCGAAGAAGTGCAGGCTGCAGCTATCCCCAAGTCTGAAGAGGACAAGCTTGCCCACCCCCTCTCAGCCCCCAAAGCGGTTCTCAGGATTCCAGTGTCCGGCCTTGGCCAATGACCACAAACACCTCCCTTCCGGGTCTGGTGGAGATGCAGCCCTCACTTGCAGACCATTCCAGATTACCCTTTAGGTTTTATTTACGGCAGGGTCCTTGCTGTGGGAGAATGTGGGGCCCTAGTTCTTGCTGCTAACTCAGGCAGGATGTGTTTATATCCTGTCTCAGTTTACATGGCGGCTCTTCAGAACCAGAGGTTACAGTGGAGAGGACCCACTTCCTCAGGCCAGTGGGCTGGGAACTCTCACAGGCCTGAATGCCAGTTATTTTCAGTGAGTCATGCACAGCAATCCCTCGCCTTGCCCCTGGATGGAAGGGGTCAAAACTCAGCGAGGGACAGCCAGGTTTGGCAGCTTTATATAGAATCCGCTGCCTCCAACAGAAGCAGAGGACTGCATTAAGTGCCAAATGAAATTCCATCTCAGCTATTGCTCAATCCCTCCAGATACCCGTGCGGTTCTGGGCCACGTGGCCTGGCAGATAGCTGGACTTTTCCAAGTGTCCCTGTGGTTGGGCAGGTAATCCTGGAGACTTGCAAAGCACGCTGGAAAGCAGTGTGGGGCTGGCCAGAGACATTCTGTGTTTGCAGTGGGAATACATAAACCCATGTACAGTGGGTATGAAGAGGCCGTCAGCCCTGGTGACAGGTTGAGCAAGCCAGGTCAGTTTGCCTCTATAGTTGCAGATCCATAAATATCAGAAGGCCTTCTAGGGCCCCTTCCAGTGACTGAGAATGCAATGGATCTCATGCCCTTCTAGGGCACCTTCCAGTGACTGAGAATGCAATGGATCTCACTATCACCAGCCAAAAGCAAAACCAAACAAACAAGCAAACGAAAATTTTGAACAATCAGTGAAGCGGCAGTCCCAGATGAGGGTGCCTATCTCTCTATCCTATGTCTCTGTCTCTCTGTGTCTCTCTCGCTCACAGAAAAATAAACCTTAAAGAAATCATGCACTCGGTAGCTCCTAGTCCGGAACTGCGCCTATACTTGGAGGCCAGTGAATAATAAATTGGAGTGGACATAAAGTCAAACCAAAGCAAATTATTTTTTTGAGTTTCTTTCTTCCATGGGCAAGAGAGCCCAGAAATCACTGCCTAGTTCTCCTCACCCTCCTCCCGCAGTGTTGATTTGTATTTCATATCCTCTCCACCTCCCCCACTCACCTTCTTCTCATCCAGGCCTGGGGTTTGCTTCAGATCAGTATAGAATCTGAACTTCTGAGGGAATGCCCTTAGTGATTATACTTTCTAATTTTCCTGCATTCCTCCAGAACAGTGTCAGGGCATAGAACCTTAGCAAGTGGCAGGAGTCGGCCAGAGCCAGCTCAGCAACACTGGATTTCCTCTCGAGGCAGGAGGCAGGAGAGGATTGGCCTGCCCTCACCCACTCCTGCAGACCTCTGGATAGCCCGTGGGTCACCTCCATGCTTATGGCTGAGAGGGCTGCTGGCTCCAGGGGGACCTGGCACAAGGTCTACAGGGGCAGAGCAGGGCAAGCACTCACCGCCTGGTTCTAAGAGCCCTGTCCTTTCCCCTGTCCTGACACCGTCCCCACCTCTCATAATGCTTTGGGACACCTTATGTTCTTTCTCATTTCTACACAGCAAGCTCCCTCCATGTTAAAGCCTCACATCCCTTATCTGTAGTCATACACTGTTAGGGGTTCTGCTCCTCTGACCCCATCCAGGGCCCTGAGAAAGGAGCTCCCCTTTCGGGACACTGTGGGGGACCAGCCCTGGGCAAGGTTCCTCAGTTATCTCCCCGCACCCACGGCAGCCTGGAGCAGTGAGCCTGGGAACTGGTTATCTACACCTGGCATGTGACAGTGCTCGCTGCACAGCTGTGGCAGAGAGCCGCGCCAGGACTGCCGCACCCTTTCTCCTGCAAGCCTAGCGTGGTTTCTTGGGAGGGAGGGAAGAAAACAACAAAGACCAGATCAATACCAGATAGGACCATCAGGTCGCCTGCCTGCTGTGCTGGACCTGGAGGTGCCTTCTGGGTGCTCTGGGCAGCAGAGTCAGCTCTCTGTGAAGTTCTCGAGGTGCCAGTCGCTTTCCCAAAGGCTTCACACCCTTGGCAGTGCTACAGGCTCTGAGCTCAGGGTCTCTTACCATATATTTAAAGGAGCCCAAATACACTTTATCGATGTGCTAGTGATGGGCAGGTTAGTAACACCAGCTAGTAAGTGGCATTTGCAGTCCAAGGGTTTGGTTTTGAATCTGGACCAGCTATGAGCTGGCTGTGACCTTGGATGAGTGGCAGACCTTTTTAAGTCTCACTCCATTGTCCAGGACAGAGCCGGCTTTGCAGGCTGGTAACCTCACAGCCACACTATGGCCATGTGCCCATAAGGGCCCTCTAATCGTGCGGTTTAATGTTCTGCTATTGCCATCTTGAAATACCTCATTTTTAAACAAGGGGCAACTTTCATCTTTGGGGTTTTGTTTTTGTTTTTGTTTTTCCCAGGGCCTTGCAAATTCTTCAGCCAGTTCTGATTCTAAAATGGAGATAACAGCAGTCTTTACCACAGGGGTTTGTTCTGAGGACTGCATGCAATTTCATCACATTTCATAATTTGGTTTCTAGCACAGTGCCTCGAACATCATAATGAGCAACATCACTGCCCTGCACTGAGCGTCTGAGGGTGGTCTGAGAGAGTACCAGCCACCCCCACTGCTGTCCACTCTCCTTGCGCCCAGCCTAGTCTCCATGTGCCCATTCACCCCGAAGTCAGCACCCCAGGAACCAGGAGGGTCTTCCCAGGCCCCACAGCCTGCACCAGCACCCCCTCCTCCCCATCCGCCTTCTCCTTTACCCTCTCCCGCT